CAGCCTCACTCTTACTGGAGAAGTAATAGAGCAGGTGGATAAGTTTTGTTATTTGGGCAGTTGCATCTCACCCGGTGATTATTTCGTTAAAATTGTCCCATTACACAGGGAAGATAATTGGAGTTCATAATACTTATCTTAATTACTTTAGCCTGTTCGCCGAAATTTTGGCAATTTGTTTGCACACCTGGGGTGACAAGAAATCTTTTGTGCGTCTTTTACTGTCTTCCCGATATAGATAGCTTGCTTAAGGTCACTGGAAAAAGGGTGTAACCTTGGGGTCTATACCATTCAGTAGCCTTTAGTTTCAGTGATCAATAAAAAAGAATCAGTAAGTTGAAGGATACGGAAAAGTACTACTACTAGCACTTATTGAGTAAACCCGGCTCAAATTTCTGGCGCCAATAGGAATACAATTCATCGTATTGTTGCTTCACACCAATATTCAAAGAAAATGTGTCTGGGGAAAAACATCAGCTACCATCAAATATGATCCCGTGGTTAGTGAGGATGACAACATTTTGTCAGAGACCAATAACAGACAAAAAAGGTAATTTTTACCCTGATTCAGTTAGGGTTCACTAAAAAGGAAGATGGTTGATACGGGTTTTTAAACAACGCAGCTCAAAAGTGAAGCTGGAAATTGCAGGATGGTGTAACGCTTGGCAGTTAGCGCTAGCATCACCTGAATGTAAACGTTTGCACTTACCTAAACCGTTTACATTTATGGCGTTTATTTTCATTTTCCATGTGTTGTGATAGAAGAATACAGACTAACATCAAAAAGAATATATAGTAAAGGATGTTGTGAGTGAGCGAAGATGAAGGGAATAATGGAACCGGGCCCGGTGTCCAGTCGAACAGCCACAGTCGAATAAATAAAAAGTGGGTACTCCACGAGTTTCCGTAAACCCTGCGAACAAATGTTGAGGAACGATGGGATGGATGTCGGTTGTGTGGGTGCTCGTTGTGCTCAGATCACTCAGTCGACTGAGTGTAACATCGGAACGTAGCTAACACGGACAGTCCTCCCGAGAGAAGTCGCACGTATTTAGATAAGTAGTCCCGCAGGCAGACGAACGAGTGATAAAGTGAATGCCTTAAAACAAGTAATACCTCCGTAAAACAAGCGATGAAGTATTAAAACAACTCAACCGTTAGCGTTCAAACGAGCGAATCCATTTGTAACCAATCGCAGTGTTAACTTAGCTAACCAATCATGTGCCGGACAACAAAACTACCACTTGAAAATCTCCACTTAATTCCGCTATATGTACGATTTATTCTGCACTTCGGCACAGTAAACGGTTCCGAGCAGAAGAGGTTGCCGGCCATGGAGATTCACAAAATCTAAGGTGGTTCATGTCCTGTGGCAATTTTCGTCTTACAGATCACACCTGTTCCAAAACAAAAGAAAGAGATTTCGAACATACAGAACACGAAATAGGTAAGCCGAAAAACACTGTCAAAACACGAGAATCGGACCGTAGATGGGCACAAAGCACACCAGGTACCCTAGACAGCTAATCAATACTTTTCCCAGTATATGTTTGTATCACAGGAAACCCATTCACTGAATCGCCTGTGTGTTTGTGTGCAGTCTTGTGCGTACAGGCATAAAAAATGACAGTTGGTGTGACGGGGTCATATGGATAATCGATTGATCCTCCAAAACGGGAAATTACACAAAACTGGGTTATGTGGATGTAACTGTGATGTATGGTTAGGCATTAACCTAAAGGAAACAAAGCTTGGTTTGGATTAACATAAAAGATATGTGCGCAAGCAATCGTACAAAGGGAGTGTCAAAATCAACCTTTAGGTGTACCAAATAATAATAATGATAGTAATAATAACAGCAGTCAATAACAAAGAGAAAAAAGTTGAAATGGACTCACTTTATCTGTCATTTTAGGAGAGCACTTGTCAGTTCCTGCTTCTTCCTGTTCCGGATAACAGACAGAATCGAGTGATCCAAACTGGCCTGTTGTTCGACAGACATCTGACGGGTGGCAAATACGTATTGATATAAAAATGAATGCATTGTAACTTTGCATTTAGCAAACGCCAGAGGAATAGATCAATTTAAGAAAAGCGTTGCCAAACTTACCCTGAACTTCTGATTTCAGAATGCAGGGTGTACACAAACCGCGGATTTGGCGTCGAATTCCATGTCCAAGACGAACTGTAAATTGGCCACAGTGTTGGCACCGATTTGGTCGCATGAACGGCCGTGAACAATCTTTGGTGCGATGGAGACCACTGGAGAGAGGGTGAGTACTCACAGTAGGGCACGTAAGTGTGCGATCCAGAGACCAGCGGCGACAACGAGGCGCTTCCCAACACAGTGGCTCTTCACCCAAGAGGGGATCGGCAGGGGTAGAAACTTGAATTGGAGCCAGCGGGGAATGTGTCGAAACCGACGATGGGACCGAATGATTCTGGTGGTCGGCTGATGCATTGGAGTTGGACATAAAGCAGGAAGAACAAGCTGTCCTTGAGGAACCCGGTTCGGAAGATAATGTTTGAGTCTGTGAGGACTGCGCCATAACACGTTGCAATTCCAGACGATAAGCAAAGTATAACTCTGATCGAAGACTGGAAGTCTTACGAGTGTATAAATCGTTGGACACGACTGAGGCATCTCCGGAAATATGCATATCTTTCTCAGATTCGAATTCGACCGGGTCGGTATGTACAGCTTCAGAACACGTAGTGCACAATGTATCTGTGCGAGTCGTGAACCGATACCGATTCGGATCACGCAAGGCTTCGGTGAGCGCTAGCGCTTCTCGGGCAGCCAGGCTCACGAAAGGCCAACTGTTTGCATTCACGTTTGAAGCATCTCTACTGTTGCTATTATTATTATTGTTAGAAATATTAGTATCGATGCGTTCGATAGGCAACGTCGGAAGAGAAGACCCCGCCGAGTGACATGGACACGATGGAATAGGAGGAATCAAACATTTGGGATCCAATCCAACCTCTTGACGAAGCTTCAAGGCTTGAAACCAAGCGGTGATGGCATCTTGAACAAGAGAATGTCGATCAAAGAGACTCGCACCGAGCAATTCGTAAGCCGCTATTTTCTCATGAACACTAATAGCCAATGAATCGGAAGCCTGACAAGGCAATGAATCACTAAGAGCAGCCAGATATTCCACCACCTGTGAATGAAACCAAAACGGTAGGAAATGAAGGATTACAACAAACTTAAAATCATGGCATGATGTCATTAAAAACCAGACAAAAAGATCTAATTTTGTGCTCCCCATGAACAACCAGCAATCGTCGCTAACCTCACAGTATCGGTCTTCACCCAACGAAAGTTCGGTTCAGTTCAGTTTGTACAACCATTAAACATTGCTGCCTTTGGCTACCCATTTGAATGAGCATTAGGAGAAAGACAGGAAAGGTTGAAAGTAGGATCGAAGAGAAAATTTAGAATTTCATTGCACTCATTTTGCAGATAAATTGATAAGATCACGAACGCCACTGTTTACGACACTAAGCCATATCACTGAGTGTCTCTAATAACGATTACGATCATCCCGAGGTCCCCGGTCAAGGAGCCTAACGGGACCTATATGACCCAGACTTCTGGTTAGGGTCTTCATGCCCTCATGCCAGGCCTTAGGTTGACCACCCTTGACTTTCCTCCACCCACTACCTGCCTCGACGACGAAAGTTTTCACCGAAAACGTAATACACTCGACAGTTCACCAAAAACGCGTTTATTGAGTGAGAAAAGTTTACTCCACGTGGTGGTCACGTATCAACAGAACAGTTGTCTACGACTGACCGCTGCACGCACTTTAGCCAACATACTCTTCTTCATAAGACCTAATTAATAGGTGGCATACGCCATGACAAGTCAACTACGACAATGGACCTCAGCAGTTTAGTGAATGATGTCAGGCACCTCCCAACTTTGTACCGGTCATCACACATACGTGAACAAGGGCATCATGCCGCTAGATGTGAAGTTAATTTAACAAAGAATTAATAAATATATATATATATATATACATATACAAATAAAACTTCCAATAAATTGCCTGAAAGTAGAAAATCTGGACACAAACAACATTCTTCCGAAAGCAAACACTATGTGGGTATGTATACAACAGCAATAATTTTGGTAGTCTAACAGATATGGAAATAGACATATTTTCATATAATAACGAGTGATGGGCGAAACTGTAGTGAAGCTCACTTTTTTGTAAGCTGCGTTAGCTCCGGACATGATAGGCGATTGCCCGTATTCATCTTTACGCATTATCGCACGATGCTCGAGCAGTAACTGGAGACTTCGTAGATTTCCGCTCTCAGCACAGTCGTGTAAAGCGGTATTACCTATGAACAGTGAACGGACAAAACAGGAGTCTGAAACAAGCAAGCTCACTCAACGATGGTCACATAAGAGGACTGTAGCGCGAAAAGACTATATTGAAAGGGAGAATGTTGCAAATCACCACTAGCAAACAGCGTACTAGGATACCAGTATGCACAAAGCGTGTTGTGATAAAAAAAAATTTTAATACATTTAGCACAGAATCACGCGTTTAATCGACGCGCCAAATTCCAAGAATGTGATACAAACTGTGATGATCGCATATTAGATAATGAGCCAAATTGATAGGGCATCAAAAAGAGTTTTGTCAAAACCACGCCCGTCACATTTGTGTCGTGATTCAGAGAGACAGCAAAATAAACGATGCAGATGCCCAGTTCTGTGGAAGACCACCAATATGGCGAAAATAGAACAATCACCAAGTTTGCAACGGAAGCCACGAGACCACGAAATAAATATAGTACGCAACAAATGTCCATATAAAACAGAAGCAAGGGTGCCATTTACCTTTGGCGCTTCGCCTGTTTACCCGAGCTTTTTTGCTCAGCAGGTACTCGACGATTCGATTATGACCACGGTAACAGCTGATCATCAAACAGGTGTGTCCATGACGATTTGGAATCTCCACATTAGCACCATGGTCAACGAGAAACTTCACGACCTGTGAGTGGAAGAAAACAGAGAAACAACCAAAAGTGGCGAGTTATACAGCTTTTGCATGATAA